CTGAAAATATTCCACCACAAATTCCCTTATCTAACACCAAATAAAAAGGTATAACTCCTTTCTAAGATAAGGCTAGTTCTCCTTCATAAAAGAGAAATCCACTTTCTAAAGAAGTTAATGGCTTTATGATATTTGCTAAGAGTTAGCTGGACTCTTGCTATTCAACTAACTTGCCCAGTTCTAGCTGTTCCGAATGTAATTTATCTCGTGAAAATTGTGAAACACTACAGAAAATCCTTCAGAGATACACTGCTTGGACAAAATAAAAATTGAGGCATTCTTTTTTAGCACCACTGTTAAGAGTGGTAACGGGAAAAAAGAGAAAAAATTAAATTCCAAAGTCTTCCCACCACTTTATAAACACTTTAGTAAAGGGAAATGAGGTTCTATGGAGAGCTGAACAGCAATGAGAACTTCCCCGTTAAAGATTCCAGGTTGGGTAACAAACAGGTTATTTCATTCTCACAGAAATCTAATACCAAGTCTGCATGTACCAGAAGACTCTCACTGAATGCCTGAACCTGTCAAGCTCATCCCCTAAACCATGACTGCATTGCTTTTTCCTCCCGCTTAAATGTTATATCTCTAGTCTTTGCAAGGCTAGTTCTTGTTGTCTGTCCATCACAAGTTCTCATCTTAGACTTACTTTCCTAGAAAGGCCTTCCCTCCTTGCCTAAGGGCACACCTCATCCCTTTGTGTCATACAATCCTGTTTTATACCTTATATCATGGATCACCATCTGAACTTACCTTCCTTGTTCTTTTTTACATGCTCATGATCATCACAATTATGTCAGCTCCATGAGGCTAGGGATCTTGACTTACTTATCTATCCTCAATTCCTAGCCCAGAGTATATATAAGGTGTCCCCAAAAAATGTATAAACACTTTAAAAGCTGATAACTCATTTAATTCTGAAAATGAACTATATGTTAATAAACACTGACTTTATAATCATTCAAGGTGTGTACACATTTGGGATGCACTGTATGTTCAATGATTGCATGAGGCTAATAATGATATTATATTACATAAATGTGAAAGAATGGGGCGAAAAATGAAGATTCCATTTACTTCACTCCAAACCCTTTCCTATGAGCTCAATGAGAATAAGAAATAATAGTTTGTGGGCCAGGACAATAAAAACAAATTGGCTTATATTTCTTGTGAAATATCCCCACCCCACCCCCCACCCCCTGTGATGTCCAAGCATCCTGCTTCAGTATCAGGCCAAATCAAATAGAGACTGGAAAATTTACAGAGCAAATAATTTCTATTATCCTGAGCATAAAATACTTTGATTGTCAAGCCGAAGAAATTTCCACCTACTTCCTCATTTCAAACCCACTTCCAGCATAGCATCCCAGCGGTGGACATAGAAATCCAAGAAACAACGCCTCTACTTTATGGCAAAGCATGAAACAGTAAAAGTGAAGGAACTTTCAAATCAGACTTCTTAACCTCTAAAGTTTGAGGGCAGAAATAATAGTTTAAGTCTCTAGATTTAATCTGCCTTTGGACACAATTTCAAATCGTATAAAAAGAATGCTTCCACCCTCACTTGCTACAGATGCCCTGCCACTGCTTCACAGAAATGCTTCGATTACATGAAGTCCTTTGCCAGATTAGGCCAGTGTCCAGGGCACTGGCTCCTCAAAGCATTCAGGCTTATGCCAAAGATATAAAATGTGGTGCAGATGCTCCAGCCTTAATGCTTCAAGGTGTAGACCTTTTCCAGGGGTGAGGAACCTTTTTTCTGCCAAGGGCCATTTGGATATTTATAACATCATTCACAGGCCATACAAAATTATCAACTTAAAAATTAGCTATACTCAGAAGCATGGAACAAACTGAGGGATCTCAGAGACAAGGCAGGGGTGGGGGAGTGGGTGGGAAAAGATTAATCAAAGAACTTATGTGCATATATGCATAACCTATGGACACAGACAATGGTATGGGGAAGGCCTGGGGGTGGGGTGGATGCCGGGTGGAGGGGATCAATGGGGAAAAAGGGGGACATTTGTAATACTTTCAACAATAATTCTTTTTAATTAGCTATGAAAAAAGCTCCTAGGTTTATTGAATTTCAAGTCCCACCTGCAGTTGCCTTGGCAGGGCCGGACCAAACTATTTCTTGGGCCATATACATCCCCTGTTTTAGCCAATGCTGTAGCCATTACTATGGGGCCAAAGGGAAGAACAGTGATTACTGAACAGAGTTAGGGAAGTCCCAAAATAAAAAAAGATAGCGTGACCATTGCAAAGTTCATTGACTTAAAAGATAAATATAAAAATATTGGCACTAAATTTGTTCAAGATGTTGCCAATAATACAAATGAAGAGGCTGGGGATGGGACCACTGCTGCTATTATACTGGCACACTCTACTGCCAAGGAAGGCTCTGAAAAGATTAGCAAAGGTGCTAATCCAGTGGAAATCAGGAGGGGTGTGATGTTAGCTGTTGATGCTATAATTGCTGAACTTAAGCAGCAGCCTAAACCTGTGACAATCTCTGGAGAAATTGCTCAGGTTGCTATGATTTCTGCAAATGGAGACAAAGAAATTGGCAAAATCATTTCTGATGCAATGCAAAAGGTTGGAATTTCTAATTCATCATTCAGTGTTTTCCCATCACAGTAAAGGATGGGAAAACACTGAATGATGAATTAGAAATTACTGAAGGCATGAAATCTGATTGAGGTTATATTTCTCCATACTTTATTAATACATCAAAAGATCAGAAATGTGAATTCCAAGGTGCCTATGTTCTAATGAGTGAAAAGAAAATTTCTAGTGTTCAGTCCATTGTACCTTCTCTTGAAACTGCCAATGCTCACCCTAAGCCCTTGGTCATAATTGCTCAAGATGTTGATGGAGAAGCTGTAAGTACACTCATTTTGAATAGGCTAAAAAGTTGGTTGTAGCAGCCAAAGCTCCAGGTTTTGATGACAATAGAAAGAATCAGCTTAAAGACATGGCTATTGCTACTGGTGCTGCAGTGTTTGAAGAAGAAGAATTCTAAACCTTGAAAATGTTCAGCCCCACGTTAGGAAAAGTTGGGGAGGTCACTGTGACCAAAGATGATGCCATGCTCTTGAAAGGAAAAGGTGACAAGGCTCAAATTTAAAAACACATTCAAGAAATCATCGAACAGTTAGATATCTCAATTAATGAATATGAAAAGGAAAAACTAAATGAATGCCTGGCAAAACTCTCAGATGGAGTAGCTGTGCTGAAGGTTGCTGGGAAGTGATGTGGAAATGAGTAAAAAGAAAATAACAGATGCATTCCCTCAATGCTAAGAAGACATTGTTCTGGGAGGGGGTTGTGCCGTGCCTAGGTTCATTCCAACCTTGGACTCATTAAATCCAAGTAATAAAGATTCAAAAATTGGCACAGAAATTATTTTTTTGAAAGAACTCAAAATTCCTGCAATGAATCACTGCTAAGAATATAGGTGTTGAGGGATCATTGATAGTTGAAAAAAATTATGCAAAGTTCCTCAGAAGTTGGTTATGACACTATGCCGAAGATTTTGTGAATATGGTGTAAAAAGGAATCATTGTTCAAACTAAGGTTGTAAAAACTGCTCTACTGGGTGCTGCTAGAGCGGCCTAGCAGAAATTGTAGTCACAGAAATTCCTAAAGAAGACGACGACCCTGGAATGGGTGGGATGGGTGGAATGAGAGGTGGTATGGAGGTGGCACGTTCTAATTCCTAGAACTGTACTTTACCATTATTATTGAGAACTGTGAGAGGAAGCTCAAGGTATTGCTCCTCACCTAGAACTTAAGAAGTCACCTGAAGGAAATGACTGAAGAAAAAGATGGCTAATGTTTAAGAAAATCACTATAATCATCAGTTACTGGTTTTAGTTGACAACATACAATGATTTGCTGCTGTCATTATCCATGCCTACACATAATTTATTTTGCCTTTTTGAATAAAAAGGTACCTGTACATTCCTGATAATTAAGTGCAAGAGCCAGGTACCAATGTACAACTTTCAATTTAAATCAGAGGCATTTTTACTACTATTCTGTTAAAATCAGGATTTTAGTGCTTGCCGTCATCCAATGAAAAGTTAAGCAGCCTTTCTGTGGAGAGTAAGAATAATTGTGTACAAAGTAGAGAAATATCCAATTATGTGACAACTGTAATAACAATTTGTTTAAAGTTAAAAAAAAGAATGCCTCCAAAATCAAAAGTAACTATCATCCCTAATAAAATAATCCTACTAAACCTGGCCTTACTATAAGAAGGTTGTCAAACATTTGACAATTCATAAAACATACTTCTTGCTATTATAACTAATTGAATTGAATCACACAAGCATAATATGCATAATATCCCAATGGTAATTAGGACACTAAACCAAAACCCAGCCTTATCTAATAATATACTGACCCAACTTTCCGAGAAAATTCATTGCCATTGCTTTGCAACAGGTCAAATAAATAGATCTCCCATAACCTGCACTTGATGGAGAGCTAGCTCACCGTTCAATGTGCGATCACTAAAACTGTCACTCAGGATCAAGTTTTGGTCTGCCCCCGTGGAAAAAGGACGCTGGGCTATTCATTAAGGTGGTAAACGAATACCAATAGGAGGTTGTCCTGAAGCAAAGCGGTTCGGATCGGTTTGGTGCCCTCTCCTCTGGGAGACGATGGGCAGCAGGATTATGCCGCGCTGACATCGGGGACACCAGGGCAATATGCCCGGGTCAAGGCTCCTGGCCAACCGACCCCTGCCGCAAGGGGAGGGCTAGGTGCCGGTGGACACCAGCCACTGGACGCCCCAGCAGCCATCCCCGCGCGGGGAGAGTGGGCGGTCGGGGCACAGTGAGGCCTGACAGCCCGGGGTTGTGAGGGGCCGCTCCTACCCGAGCCGCACTGTGGTCAGGGAGGACTGCGGACAAACCCTGGACAGAGGTCTGCAAGACCAAGGTCCACCCGCGTGCCGGAGGCACACCCAGCCCAGTTCCCGCCCGTCACCTCACCTCGGTCGGCACGGGCAGGTTCTCCGCCGCCGCCTTCAGTTCCAGCACGGAGTCCGTCTGCCTGTCGGTCAGTGGCGCCGTAGTGTCAGGTCTCCGATCCCAGAAAGCCAGCCTCTCCCACGAGTCCCGCTCCGCCGCGGCCTCGGGCGGCAGCAGCAGCGCCGCCTCCGCCATCGCCGCCGCCCCCCGCGGCCCTCAGCAGCAGCGGGGTGGTGGGGACCCCGACAGACTGGCCCGGGCCACTTCCGGCAGAGACAGGGCTTCCAGCTAAGCACCGGCTGCGGGGCGGGGCGGGGCGGACTGAGCCGGAATAGCCTGAACCCGGAAACACTTCCACAGAGTGTGGGCGGGACTGAGGTCCGGACAGACGTGGCTTTAAACCGGTACAAATATTTCCGGTTGCGTTGTAGGCGTGGATGGAGGAGGCTATAGACCCTGACGGAAATAGAAGTGCCCCTACCGGAAGTCTTTTCCTCAACATCCATAACTTTATTGTTACGTGTTGTTCACGACAATCGTGTTAAGTGACTCTGCGAGCAGGGGCTTTTGTGAGCTCCCGGATCTGCAGCCTCTGCCCACTGCTGAGTAGTCTGAGTGGAGAGTGTACTGCGCGATCGCCTTGCTGACCTGTTGACAGTTTCGGCTACCTGGATCACAACCACGAATACAAACTTTACCGACATCCGGTAACTCCACTGTTAGAAAACTAACTTATGAAAACACAAAAATTCAAAGATTTGTGTGCATCAGACGTCATTAATAGTAGTATCAAATAATCGGGAAAAACCTAAATGTACAACATTTAAGATTTTGACCAATAATGCATGGCACAGTCATCTTGTGAACTTGAGCAACAAAAATATTATAGTATTGGATCATAATTTATAACATAAATACTCTTGAGTCCATAGTAATATAAATAAATGATTGAATTAGTAAGTTGGGGAGAAGGAACAACTCTCCTTACAGAAGAATTCCAAAAAATATAAACGTGGAAAGAATGAGGGAAATAGTAATAATTGTAGCAGACAAGATATAATGACTGATGCTAAAATTACTAGGTGAAAGTTTAAGGAGAAACAAATTTACATTGTACAAATGATCTCCCCAAGATATGTATTAATAGCAAGGGGCCTATTAACTTTAAGGTGGAAACACCTGGCAGACATGACTTTAACCAAGAGATCAAAGTCAGCAGCATCATCATAAAACTCCTAATGTGATAGATCGAGGACACAATATCCTGTGGTATTCTTGCCAAAAATGCAAAACCACATTCTAAACGTGAGAAAACATCAGGCAAACTCAAACTGAGGGATGTCCTACAAAACAACTCACCTGTATTCTTCAAAAGTGTCAAGGTCATAAAAGATTAAGAAAGATTGAGAAACTGTTACATATAGGAAGAGATGAGGGAGAAATGACAACTAGATGCAGTGTCAGAACCCAGATTGGATCCTGGAATAGATAGAGAAAAAAACTATAGAATAAAATAAAAATATTCCAGTAAGGTCTGTAATTTAGGTAATAGTATTTTGTCAATGTTAATTTCCCAGTTTTTATTATTGTACATAGTTATGTAAGCTGAATGAAGGGCATACCTGAAACTCTGTACTACTTTTGCAACTTGTGATACAGAGTATAAATGTGGGTCTATTATAGGAAATTTGTACTTCTTTGGCCGAGTGGGGGGCAGGGGCACTAGGTGATATTTGCTCATACAGAAAAGAACACTAGAGTCTGAAGCAGAAAATTCAGTATATTGTATACCTTATACTTTCTAGTATATTGTGAGCAACCACTACATTTTTAAATGTATATACTTCTATGCTAGTATTCCGCAAAATTAAAACACCCCATAAAAACTGATGTTAATCTGTTTCACTGCTCTTGTTTCTTCCCCACCCCTACAGAACCAGCTGGTAACTAGGCACAGCTGTCCTTCCTTAGCTCCCTCAATTCTTCAGCTCAAGAATAATCCTGGCATTATTGTGTTGCATATCTACCTTCCTCTTCCCTCATTTGATATCACAGTAGATTATTAAACATTCAGCCTTGGCCAAAATGTTTTCCAGGGGTACTGTGACCTGCACTGAAACCCTTTAGCATCATGAATCACCAGTTGGTAAAAATATTTTAAAGAATTAGACATAATTTTAGAAGGAAGTAGAGTGATCATGGGCTTGGGAAAATCTGCAATATATATCATAATTCTGTGGGTCAGGAATTTCTTCAGGGCACAGAAGAAAGGAATTGCCTCTGTTCATCATGTCTGAAACCGTAGCTGGGGTGACACGAATGCCTACAGACTGGACAGCTGGGTACTGGCTACACATCTCTGCATCCTCATGCAGTCTCAGTGCCTCTCTGGCAGTCACTTCACATGGTCTCTCAGGGGCTCAGGGCTTGAAGAGATTGCTCCCAGAGGCTTTAGAACTAAGCCTCAGAAGTCACAGAAGGTCAATTCTGCTGCACTCTCTGCCAAGTTAGTCACTATGTGCAGTCCAGATACCGGGAGAGGGACATCTACTCCAATTCTCAGTGGGAGGAGTAGCAAAGAATTGGCAGCATTTTTAATTTACCACAGGTCCAATGTTTTGCAACCACTAAAATGAACAAAGTATCAATTCTGCTTCTACTTATGGAATACCTAGGGGTATGAAGAACTTTTGAAAGTGATGACAATGTTATTGTGATTTTGGTAATGGTCTCACAAGTGTACACATATGTCAAAACTGATCAAATTGTACATTTTAAATATGTGTAGTATGATATGCACATACTCAATTATACCTCAATAAAATTGGGAGTGTGAATGAAAAGGAGGCTACTTGGCAAGCCCAATAACTAGAACTAACCACATGGGATGTTCAGATCATAAAAAGTCCTAACTTAGCAGGCCATGATGGAAAGTCATGTCCTAGGCCTATATGATAGATTTCTTCTTTACCTTAAGCAAGCCCTATCCACTGTTTTTCTGCATCTAGGATAACATACTTAAAATGTCAGAATGATCTCCATACCTCCAAAGATAATAAACACCGCAGTACCGAGGCCAGCCGACCCCAACATTCCTCGTTGTTATCTCTTACTGGCTTACCTCTATAAATTGTACATGTTAAATGTTAACTACTTTGTGACCACCAATGTAAAAGTGCATAGTTTTCCATTTTACTTTTTATACAATCCTATGAACTTCCTTACTTTGCTTTCTCCTGCCTCCTTAACCTACCACCAATGGATTTCATGTAACCTTCCTTATGTCTTCTCCTTTCATTCTCATGTATAAAATGAACTGTAAAACTGCTATTCCCTAGAACATTTTCTCAATCCTTTGATTCTCCTTTTGGGTCTGGCCCTCAGACTTGGCTCAGAAAAACTCTTTAAACCTTTCTTTAGGTTTGGAATTTCTTTCACTGACAGGGGAAAGGGAGAATAAGGCAGGTCTGTAAGTAATGGCATGGAAGAAAGTTCATCATATATTGTTGAATTAAGAAAGCAAGTTGCTGAACGATATGAATATAATCCCATATTTAGTTTAAAAATTACACATAGAGCCCGGCCAGGTGTGGCTCAGCAGTTGAGCATCAGCCTAGGATCCAGGAGATCAGTTTGATTCCCAGTCAGGGCACATGCCCAGGTTGCGGGCTCAATCCCCAGCAGGGGGCGTGCTGGAGGCAGCCAATCAATGACTCTCATCATTGATGTTTCTCTCTCTCTCCCTCTCCCTTCCTTTCTCTGAAATCAATAAAGACTTTTTTTTTTTTTTTTTAAGTAGCAAATTGTTATTCATAATTATCCCCTAGGAGTAGGATTGGCAGAGTAGGACAAGGTCTTCATTATTTTAAGATTGTTTATTGAAAAAGAATTATTAAAGAATGAATATTGTTTTTGTGTGTTTTTTTTTAAATCCTCACCCAAGGATATTTTTTGCATTGCTCTTCAAAGAGAGTGGAAGGGAGAGAGAGAGAAACGATGTGAGAGAGACACATTGATCAGTTGCCTCTTATAAGCATCCCAACAAGCTTGGAGCCTGCAATCGAGGTATGTGCCCTTGGCCGGAATCAAACCCGGGACCCTTCAGTCCGCAGGGCGACACTCTAACCACTGAGCCAAGCTGGCCAGGGCAAAGAATGAATATTGGGGATCAAAGTGAGTTCTCGTTCTACCTCTGCTGCTAACTAGCTCTGAGTTGACATCTTAATTTCCTAAAAGAAAATGTACTTGCTTATAGCAACACTCCATTGAGCACCCTATTAACACCTACCTGAATCACACAAATACCCTTCTGTGTCCCCAATCCCCAGCCTGGTGAGGCCTAGGGCAGCTCTGGGCCAGTAGGCACAAGCAATCACCTGCAGCAGGTGAGCTTTCTCCTGCTCCTTTCTGAGTTGATTATGTTTTCCATTCTACTGGGCCTCTCTTCACGCCACCTAATTTGTGTTTCAGGGATTGTCCTAACCCATAATGTTCTTTAAAATGTGTCCAACTATTATTGTGGATCTGTCATAAAGTAACAGAAAAGTTTACTTGCTGTAAATAAAAAAATAAGTTTTCCAATGATTTGAGGAGCCTTTCAGAAAAGGGTGGAGGAAAAGTTTCCTGACTGGGATTTGTGATTGTCTTCTGACATTAAGAGCATCAGCACAGCCCTAGCCAGCTGGCTCAGTGGTTAGAGCATCGGCCTGAGGACTGAAGGGTCCCAGGTTCAATTCCAGCCAAGGGCACGTACCTCGGTTGCAGGCTTGATCCCCAGCCCAGGTTGGAGTGGGTGCAGGAGGCAACCAATTGATGTGTCTCTCTCACATTGATGTTTTTCTCTCTCTCCCTTCCACTCCCTCTGCAAAAGCAATGGAAAAAATATCCTCAGGTGAGGATTTAAAAAGAACCAAACAGCAGCATAGACATCACAACAGCTGTGGAAACTGTAGAAGAAAAAACAAGAGAAGAGGGCTGGAAGCATGTTAGGAATTCAGGGGGTTAACCAAGTGCAGGAAACCCATCCCACCAACTTCCTCTGCTAATATTAATCCCCCATACATGCTCATTCAACTTGCATTCCCACCGCCAAGGGACCAGAGGGTTATGCATGTAAAACACGTAAAAGTCGTCAACATGTACTAGCAGTAAGTCTAAGATAAATGAGGTTTGAAATGGGGACCCACCCTCAACAAAACACTCACCAAAAGCTGGTTCTCTCCTTGCTGCCCTCA